TTTAAATACTTATAAGTTATAACTAAATTAAAACTCTATGTTGTCATTCAAAAAAGTAAAAAATTTAAAAAATGATAAGGATAAAAAATATTTTGAAAAAAGTCAATACTTTTTAAATAATGAGTGTTCTTCRATAAAAAAAATTACCCTGTATAGATCTAGTATATATTGAGTTAAATATTAAATGTTGGGATATGGTTGCATATTTTTAATGTGCCCATGGGAATATGATATGCAGTCTCCTATCTAGTTGTTTTATATGTCTATGAGTGCTTTCATTTATAAAAAGAAGTTTTTGGATATAAATAATATTTTATAYTATTTTTAACTAATTTTATTTGTATTTTGTAGAGCATTTTTGGAAGTTTTAAAAATATGCTCAGTGGTAAATCAAATTTACCACCACGTAGTGCATCAACTGAAGTTGAGCCAACAGGGATAGCTCCATTAACAAATGAAATACGTAGAAGTACATTGAGTGAAACCTTAACACAAGCAAATTCTAATATTAGCTCTATGGATCAACATCCTGGTAAACATATATAATCATATTTTATTTGTTCACAAGTTTTATGATAATAAAATTTTGAAATTTTGAACTAGGTTTAAGAATAAGGGGTTTAGTAGATAATGAATCAACTTCACCAACTGATGTCCAATCCCATTTGGATAACAATTTGGATGAAATTCTTGGATCAGTAACTCGATTAAAAGGTATATAAATAATATTAATTAATTTTGCTTAAATGAGATGTATATTTTTTAATAAAAATAATATATTGCTTTATATAATTTTGAGTAAATAAATATATATTATCTTGTTTCTTTTTAACATCTATTATTGTATTTATAGATTTAGCATTGGGACTTGGTGGAGAAATTGATTCTCAAAATGATTTAGTTGAAAACATACTAAGTAAAGCAGACAAAGCAGATATAAATATGGAACGCCAAAACAAAGAGATAAATCGTATTTTGAAAAAATAACCAACAATATCGAGCAACATTCCTATCACATTAGATATATTTGTAGCATAAGACTCCTATTAAAATTACTTATAATTCCATATCTTATTTATAAATTTATAATGAACCTTACTTCTCTATTTATGTTTATATTACCTGTTTTTTATGTTAGATATGAAGTATTACTGTGTTAGAATCATTGAAGTATGAAATTATATGAAATTATAATATTTGTCAATTCCATAAATGAAGAAAAAAATGTATATCAATTATATTTACCTATTATTCATTTGTATACTAATAAAGTAATAAGTAATAAATAATATATTTGCACAAATATATGGTGTTAAAATCTTTCATGTCAATAGTTATACTTTTTATTTTTTTAAATTTGAATTTTATGTGATTTATAACTAAACAAATTCAAATCACATTTTATAAATTATTCTTAGGGCTTGAAATAATGAAACTAATTAAATAACTAAAACTTATATAATCATAAAAAGTCTTTAATTTATTTTAAATTCTAGGCTCAGCAAAAAAATGTAATGATATTACAATGGTGTTTCTTTTTTTTTTTCTGTCATCGACTTTTAGGGTAGCAAAAATTGTCCAATTTTCTACTTGAGAATGTTTTCTGGTATGAAAGCAAATCTAGTTAGTAATATGTAGGGCTCTGATGTTATTGCACTAAAAATATTATAAAATTGATTGCATAATTGTTGTGAAAAAAACCAAAAATTTCAATAAAAAAATATTTTGAACCAAAAAAATAAAAAATATACTAACAAATTATTTTATGAAATATATTAAGTCATTTTATTAAGTAATATTATAAAGTTTTATTAGATAGGTTTTAATTGAGAAAATAATAAAAAAGATTGAAATTCAAATTCTCGTCAGTTGTCATTAAAAATCTGGTAAATTGTGCGGTCTTCTTATTTTTTCAGAAATCTACAAATAATTTWAAAAAAATGTAAAACTTTTTATTTAAACTATTTTTGATTTGTTTTTTTTTACCTTACCTTAAAAATTATTGCACTGTATAATCTAACAAAAAAAAGTGAAAACATAAAAAAATATATAAAATTGTATTGAAA